AAAATGTTTTATGCAACCCTTATAGGACAGGGGGGAGCGCGGGCGGATCCGGAAATGTGAAGCAGCTGGAATAGCGCCCTATATGAATAAAACATTATATTACCTGGTAAATATCAGTAAAATATTCATTATTTGGGGTTTCATCGGTGGGGGTGGGGGGAATCCTCCACTGGCCCAAGGTTTTGTTTCCACCGCTGCACATGGCCATATCTTGCTTTCGTTATTCCTATTTCGCTGTCCCTTGGGAGTGCAAACAGACGGAAAGCTGCCACGGTCCAATGGTTGGCAGTGCACTGCACTTGCAATCCAGAGTTGACCGGATCGGTTCGATCTCCCAGCGTGGCAGTTAAGTCGATTGGCAAGTTTCTTAAATGCCCCTCCCCCTCCCAGCCTCTGTCAACCCAGATGGCACTACTGGACATCTGTGAAAAAGAGCTTTATAGCTCATCGGATGACTCCACTATAAATATTCTGATTACCAGTGATGGGGTAAAGTATAGGTACTCACACTTCTACCAAGGCATCTGGTCAGTTTGGAAGGGTAGGCCAATAATGCCCTCCAGAGGGGCTCTCTAGAGCGGCACCTAGTGGAGACCTTTCCACCAGCAGTAACGTTAACAAGACGTTTCAGGCTGCACTTTTACTTTTTACCTTTCGCAAATGTATTGGACTAACCATTATTATCATCATGATCATCATTGCCATTTGTGTGGCCGATGAAGATAATCATAGCATGATGATTATAGCTGCCGAAAAATTACAATGATGATGGGGGTGGAGTGGTGGAATAGTGGTTAGCCCATTGTGCTCTAAACTTGGCGACCCGAGTTCGATTCCCGGCCACGGCCGTAAGTGATGTCTGAACCAGTTCTAATCAGTGTTGCGCCTGGATAGTGTTTGGATGGGTGAGCACAATGCATAACACTTTTTTTAAAAAAATTCTTGCTGTGGTTTTCACACCTGATGATGATTGCTGGTGTTGCAGTCGAAACGTCGTGATAATTTTATTGTTTTATATTTTTATTATTTTATTGTTTCCCTTCTACGTGGTGACTTTACCGAAAGAACCAAGAATATGCATAACAGGTTGTTATAGATTGGGCGGCTACGTGGTGGGCAGTGAAGCAACATGCATGGTTGTACTGTACATCTATGCTCCACGTTTTCACCAACCCGCACTGACCAGCGTGGTATAACCCCTACGAGCCACACGGCATAAGGAAGTCTCTCAGCCAGCAGTGGGATTGACAAAAGGGGCTGTATAATGTGTAGTGGGTTCACGGGACACGGAAATGGTGGAGTGTCGGCAGCACTGTTTATTCAACTTAACAAGGGTTACACTGGAAGGGGTAACGGCCCCTTCACCCGTATACACGCTGGGACACCTCCTAGGCTATCTAGCCTAATTCCTGTGCCCCCAGTTCCTCCAGCTACAGGCGCTAGAGGAGGCTATCTGACCTGGCCCTGGTCAAGCACAGATCACGGCACCCCATCAACCAGACCGACCCTTAAAAGGGCTCCGGCTCTGAGGCTCTGGGGCCGCATCACCGGCTTACCCTGCCGGCCCTCAAAAGGACTGCGGTCAGGGAAGTCCCAGGGTCTATCTGGCCGGTCTTCCTTCTTCACTGGTTCTTCATTCTTGGCCCCAACACACTGCCTCGAGCTCTCTGGCTCCCCGCCCTTTACACTCATACACCGCTGAGGGCGGGGCTATAGCGGACGTGGTTGTAGCCACCAAGGTGTGGCTGTGTGTCACCTTCCCACACTGTGTGTTACCTTCCCACAACACCCCAACACATGTGCCTGAAGAAATGTTGGGAAATCACCGTGGTTGTCTGTTAGATAGACCATCCTTTATTACAGGAACGTAGCATATCCACCACCGGCTCAGGAATGTGGGACAGGAGATGAGCACCACCTCAGGCGTTTGAGCAGGAGACCACGAATGGTTTTTCACATCTCATGCGTCCTGGGTACTCTGGAAATGCAGTGAGGGAAAATAGTATTTGATCCCCTGCTGATTTTGTACGTTTGCCCACTGGCAAAGAAATGCTCAGTCTATAATTTTAATGGTAGGTTTATTTGAACAGTGAGAGACAGAATAACAACAACAAAATCTAGAAAAACGCATGTCAAAAACGTTATAAATTGATTTGCATTTTAATGAGGGAAATAAGTATTTGACCCCCTCTCAATCAGAAAGATTTCTGGCTCCCAGGTGTATTTTATACAGGTAACGAGCTGAGATTAGGAGCACACTCTTAAAGGGAGTGCTCCTAATCTCAGCTTGTTACCTGTATAAAATACATCTGTCCACAGAATCAATCAATCAATCAGATTCCAAACTCTCCACCATAACCAAGACCAAAGAGCTCTCCAAGGATGTCAGGGACAAGATTGTAGACCTACACAAGGCTGGAAAGGGCTACAAGATCATTGCCAAGCAGCTTGGTGAGAAGGTGAAAACAGTTGGTGCGATTATTCGCAAATGAAAGAAACACCAAAGAACTGTCAATCTCCCTCGGCCTGGGGCTCCATGCAAGATCTCACTTCGTGGAGTTGCAATGATCATGAGAACGGTGAGGAATCAGCCCAGAACTACACGGGAGGATCTTGTCAATGATCTCAAGGCAGCTGGGACCATAGTCACCAAGAAAACAATTGGTAACACACTACGCCGTGAAGGACTGAATAACAACAAACACATCCAGAAAAACGCATGTCAAAAATGTTATAAATTTATTTGCATTTTAATGAGGGAAATAAGTATTTGACCTCTCTGCAAAACATGACTTAGTACTTGGTGGCAAAACCCTTGTTGGCAATCACAGAGGTCAGACGTTTCTTGTAGTTGGCCACTAGGTTTGCACACATCTCAGGAGGGATTTTGTCCCACTCCTCTTTGCAGATATTCTCCAAGTCATTAAGGTTTCGAAGCTGACGTTTGGCAACTCGAATCTTCAGCTCCCTCCACAGATTTTCTATGGGATTAAGGTCTGGAGACTGGCTAGGCCACTCCAGGACCTTAATGTGCTTCTTCTTGAGCCATTCCGTTGTTGCCTTGGCCTTGTGTTTTGGGTCATTGTCATGCTGGAATACCCATCCACGACCCATTTTCAATGCCCTGGCTGAGGGAAGGAGGTTCTCACCCAAGATTTGACGGTACATGGCCCCGTCCAACGTCCCTTTGATGCGGTAAAGTTGTCCTGTCCCCTTAGCAGAAAATCACCCCCAAAGCATAATGTTTCCACCTCCATGTTTGACGGTGGAGATGGTGTTCTTGGGGTCATAGGCAGCATTCCTCCTCCTCCAAACACGGCGAGTTGAGTTGATGCAAAGGGGCTCCATTTTGGTCTCATCTGACCACAACACTTTCACCCAGTTGTCCTCTGAATCATTCAGATGTTCATTGGCAAACTTCAGACGGGCATGTATATGTGCTTTGTTGAGCAGGGGGACCTTGCGGGCGCTGCAGGATTTCAGTCCTTCACGGCGTAGTGTGTTACCAATTGTTTTCTTGGTGACTATTGTCCCAGCTGCCTTGAAATCATTGACAAGATCCTTCCGTGTAGTTCTGGGCTGATTCCTCACCGTTCTCATGATCATTGCAACTCCACGAGGTGAGATCTTGCATGGAGCCCCAGGCCGGGGGAGATTGAGAGTTCTTTTGTGTTTATTTCATTTGCGAATAATCGCACCAACTGTTGTCACCTTCTCACCAAGCTGCTTGGCAATGGTCTTGTAGCCCATTCCAGCCTTGTTTAAGCCTACAATCTTGTCCCTGACATCCTTGGAGAGCTCTTTGGTCTTGGTCATGGTGGAGAGTTTGGAATCTGATTGATTGATTGCTTCTGTGGACAGGTGTCTTTTATACAGGTAACAAGCTGAGATTAGGAGCACTCCCTTTACGAGTGTGCTCCTAATTTCAGCTCGTTACCTGTATAAATGACACCTGGGAGCCAGAAATCTTTCTGATTGAGAGGGGGTCAAATACTTATTTCCCTCATTAAAATGCAAATCAATTTATAACATTTTTGACATGCGTTTTAATGGATTTTTTTGTTGTTTTTCTGAATCTCACTGTTCAAATAAACCTACCATTAAAATTAAAGACTGATCATTTCTTAGTCAGTGGGCAAACTTACAAAATCAGCAGGGGATCAAATGCTTTTTTCCCTCACTGTATGGTTATTGAACCATTTGTAGATACCCCCCTCGAAAAAGTGGAGAGACAAAGGGAAAACACCGTCAATTCACATTCTCTGCAGGTCTGCATGCCTCCCAGCAGTCCACACCGTTTTTATTTTACGTGCTTGATTGAACCTGCGTCACAGAATTTGCAACACAGTTTTTATAAATCGCTTTTCTGTGCGGTAACGCACGCACACATTTCTCAGAGATCGAATTATGTTGTATTCTTGTTATCGCGCTTGTTTACTCAGTAAGGCCTCACTGAGTCTCACAACTCTTTTGCAGGAGGGTCCTAACAAGTTTTCGCAGTAGCAAATTATTGCCACGCGTAAGCCCAGTTGCAGTAATTAGCGGTGTAATTTTCTAAATTTGTCGAAGCTGGACCACGACGCCGGCACGCGATGGCATTCTCTTGCGAATGATGCCAGGGGATCTTTAATGCACACCGTGAAGCAGATGGCACGTGGTGATTTTACGGGTTAATTCACCCCCGCAGTATTCATCAGGGCGACCGCTGGATTCGAACCACTGACTTCTGCAACAAGATGCGGGAGCCGCTGCTTTCACAATGTTCAACTACCTGTTGAGAACAAAGTAACCAGGATGGTTAGCAATCAGTGGAGTATAGTATTAATACATCCCCCCTGCATTTGAATTGCATGCTCACTGACTGATCTCAAAGGTAATTGTGCAGCCCTGCAATCGCGTATATACGCCACCTGTCGGCAGAAGGGCTGCTGCTGCTGCTAGAGGGAGCCCTGGAGATCCCCTCTGGGGGGGTATTTGGCCTACTCTTCCACGCCGGCCAGACGTCCGAGAAAACGTGGGAGCACCCACACTGACCGGGACGGTACCGTGTACTTATTCGCCGCGCAAAACACCGGGCCACGCGAGTGGGCCCCGTGCTCCTGTCGGCATTCATTTGTGCCGTGTTGACGGTGACGAATCCGCCCCGACCGGACGGAGCCGCTCTGGCAAGGTGCACCGAGTCGTGACGGTCGCCACCAGGGCAGCTTCCGCCGGTTCTCACCTGTGCTGACTGGGCTGCACAACGCACGCACGCCTCGCTCGCACCCGGCATCCAACAACACCTGACAGCCATCCACAAACAAGCCCGACCTTCTGCCGCCGCTGTCAAGGGCCGCTCGCATGAAAACGAGAAATTGTCGGTTCTCAAGGGCACGCGACCGGGCCAGGTGGCGTCCCGTGCCCATCACGCCGCGGTCACTTCGCTCGTGACCTCCTTGAGTCGAAGTCATCGTTCGTCTTCCACGATTCAGCACAGCGGCGACAGCTGCTTCCCTTCGGCTGATTATTTCCCCCCGCCATTCGTTGGTGCGTGACGCCGGGTTTATACGGTGAGGAACATCTATCGTCGCGGCGACTGATCACTCTGCGACTCCAGGCCATGCGTGGGTCTTTAACGCTCTCTGGGCATTGATGTCAATGTCTATTTGTTATTGTTGAATTTTTTTGAAATTAATATATGGCGCCAACACTAAAATGAAGTTGTTCGACGTAGCAACGCTTATTCTGTTACATGTTTGCAACCCAAGCAGTGGGCTCCGAATCAACCTCCTATTTACATGACTTTTGTAATTAAGGTGCAGCCCGAATTTGATTTGTTACACCGCCACTGTTGGCTGGATGGGTCTCCACCAGAGGGACCTCTAAAGAGCTCCCTTGAGAGGGTATTTTGGGCCACCTATTCTACGCTGATCAGACGGCCTGGAATATACTTTTGTAATACACGTGCATCGTGTGTAATAAATGTCACTTCTTGTGACTCTTGGCAATGGCTGGGCTTGACGGCTTGGCGCGACCGGCGAGATTGCACGTGGCTTGACATCAGCCCTAATGGCTTTTGCTATTTCTCAGCACTGGCAATTAGGGTACCGACTGGAGAATTGCAACCTTAAGGGTTCATGGAAAAGGTTGAAACGGACCATAATGGAAAAGAAATTCGCTGGCATGAGGAACGAAGACAAATGGGTTTGCGGTTTTGTGGAGATTATTGGCAGTTTGTCTTCAGTTGTGCTTAAATATTGCGTGGGGAAAATGTGTTCTGCGGCCAATAAGTTACTCCTCAGCCAATGCATTTCCACTTGCTCTTCTTTGTCTCCATTTTAATTCCATTCTGGTTCTTCAATGGCTGCGTTTGGGGTTCATTTTCATCCGTAGATGGCTTGCGGACACTAAACACTTGAAGTCGGTAACGGCTGTCTGAGTGGTTCATTGCAAACAGTAATTGATCAACAAAGCAGCAAAAGCAGCATTGCAATAGAGATATACTGCAATGTGTTTTTTTTATATTTGCAAAATGGTAGTAGACAGACCCAAACATGTTTAGGAATAAATGTTGTGGTGTTAAAATCGGGGGTGTTTTCATCTAGCAGTGGATAGAGATTTGCTAATCATTGACCATATTTAAAATTCAGAGTAGTGCGGAAGAGTGCACAGTGGTTAACGCAATGTGCTAGAGGGCCAGTTATCTGAGTTTGATTCCCGGCCATGGTTATCAAAAGGTGTACGTGATATCTAAATAATTTCTGGCCCCTCTCCATGAACCCGCAATGGACCAAGTGTGGTGAACTATGGTGAAACAACCTCCAAGACTAACACGGTGTGCGAAGGCCTTCATCCAGCAGTGGCTTAGCACAGGGCTGTCATTAATTTTAAAATACATATTTTGGTATAAAGTTGGCAGTATTAAGATGGGGCAGTATTTATCGAGCAGCCTAAATGAGCATGCTAATAAATAATCCTCTTCCAAGTACAATGCTGAATGTTATAGTTATCATAAGACTCGTCAAAACAACCATTTGGGGTACCCCATGGTGTTTTTATTTTTCTCCATATGTGACCACCCAAAATTATACTTTTATTATTAAACCCAGCTTCAATGTGGAACAAAATTGTACTTTTCCAACTCCTTGCTCATGAAGACATTCATTCAAATCAAACGAATCACATATTTGGTATCTCGCCATTCTTACGTACAAAACTTTCGCGAAGGCGCTGTTGTGTTTCATAGACAGTCTGCAGTAGTATCACAGTAGCGGGCCATATTGCTGTGTGGTCTCGCCGAGGGTACCCCCAGTGGCAGCTGTCCCTATGCAGTAGTTTCACAGTCGGGGGCCACGTTGCTGTGTGGTCTCACCCAGGACACCCCCAGTGGCAGCTGTCCCTATGCAGTAGTTTCACAGTAGGGGGCCATGTTGCTGTGTGGTCTCGCTACTTTGAGTCAAGAGCCGGGGCATAAATCTACATCCACTTTGTTTCAGAATTGCATTTTCACGAGGACTGATATCTTTCCACATTGCTCCTGCCTTGTGCAGCTGATAAAATGACATTCTCAGTTATTGACCCAGAAGCTCACGTCGACAGCAGCCATAGGCAACGCGGGCTACCTTGCATTAAACATGTTGGACAAATGACCGTTATTCATCTTAGGACACTACCCACCTGCTCGCAAATAATAGCTTGTGTGCAGCGAACACAATTAGACAGAGATACAGTACTTGGCAATGCGCACGGTTGGCACAGGCCCCTCGCGAGGAATACAACGTGAGACTCCTCTCGCTTGCCCAGTGCCTGGACTAGGGGTTTGCCAACTCTGTGGTACACAACCAATATATCGAGACACATCATGGGAGGGAGAACATCGCACGATACCAGACGAGGGAATAACGTGCATGCCAAATGCGTTGTTCTGTAGTTGCGTAACTGACAAGAGATGGGACTCCTGGGGAAATGTTGCAGATTTACCCAGGACAGCCGCTTCAACGATAGCACAATCCTTGGTAAAAACCTCACCAGATGGCAGATCTGACTGTAAAGTAATGTCACATTAATAATTATGTACCGTGCAATTGAAGGCTATAAGTGCATTTAACTTATAATTACCAGCGAAACGTCGTACTCAAATTGTAAATGTTGTGGATTTCTCGCGAACACACCGGTGGGCTGAAGTAGTATACTATTGGGCGTTTTATTTACGTGATAAATCCCTTACTAATTGGCTGTGTCAGGTGGTGGAGGGTTACGACACACTTATACTTACACGATCTAACCTAAAAACCTTTATTATGAATAATATTGTTCGTGTAAGCCTACGTGTTAAGGTAACTTATGAACCGACATCTAGGACAACGCAGGTATTATGAGAGCGTATTTGTTTGCATGTTTTTGCCATAAGCACGTGTGGTTAATGCAGACTTTATGCCTTGCAACAGCTATCCATCTGGTGTTTGAACATCTTAACGCCTGCCGTTTTATCTCCAGAAAGGGTAAAACCTCTGGCCTTATTTTTCCCCCATCACATCTAGGAGTGTAGTCAGTGAGACTGTCTCAGCATGGAGCATCATCTTACAAACAGCAGGTACAGCAGGCAACCCGCGTCTAGGGCAGTCACATGTCCATGTTTTCCACGATCGTCCTTTCATCGAGGCAGCTGTCTACGTGCGAGTCCCGGGTGGTGTTCGCCAATGCAGTTCTCCCCTCTCCCCGCATTGAGGGATCTTCTTCCTCCCGCGACGTGCCCTGGTCCCCGTGGCTTCAGAGGCGGCAACCGCGGCCACGAGGCACAGCGCGCTTGCACCTGTGGGGCCGAACCGTCCCAGATTTGGTTCTCAAACCGGAACGGACCAAACAGCGCCCTGGGCGTGCGACCGCGCGCTCCGCGTGTTTACTGCAAACAGCAACGCAGAGGAGACGCGTCGAGCAGCAGCAGCAGCAGCACTCACAACACTCGCTATCGGAGCATCTGCACCAAGGCCGTAGCCATGGAGGCAACATTGGGGGGGGATCAAATCTTCCAGGGGGTCTGGGGGTCCCCCCCCCCCCCCAGAAAAAAATAAATCTAAATTTGAAAACGAATTTCCTGCCTAAAATATAAAAAAAATTCACTAACACATAGGATGGACTTATTATTTATGTTTTACAATAATGTCTAATAGTGTATTGTATTACATTGCTCTGTTTTTCTTTTTAATCTTTCATTGTTTCATTGTATGTAATGGCAGAGATTATGGATTAATACAGTACAACCATAACCACAATCATATAAACATAAATCTATTTTATATATATTATAATTACGGCCTTGATCTGCACAATCTAAAGGGGCTAACCGTAGCCAGGATCCATCCCCGGCCTGTGGGTTGGCCTCGGTGCAGCTGCACCCTGCTAGCCGCACCGCCTATTACTGATGCTCTCTCCGCTGTGTATGCAGCTTTGTGCTCGGCGAGATGGAGCTCCCCGAAACGTCGGACTTTGCCTCTGCCAACCTCTTCTCCAAGATGGCAGAGATCCGCGCAAGCAAGATCAACTGGCAGCCCTACCTGCAGTGAGTGCGGAAACCTCACACAGGCTCCGATGACACGCTTGTCTCCCGGGGCCATGGCCACGCACATTTGCGCATTGTATCACAACCATTGTTGTATAGTTATTGTGTCACTGGCATTGTTGTATCGTTATTGTGTCACTGGCATTGTTGTATCGTTATTGTGTCACTGGCATTGTTGTATAGTTATTGTGTCACTGGCATTGTTGTATCGTTATTGTGTCACTGGCATTGTTGTATCGTTATTGTGTCATTGGCATTATTGTATAGTTATTGTGTCACTGGCATTGTTGTATAGTTATTGTGTCACTGGCATTGTTGTATCGTTATTGTGTCACTGGCATTGTTGTATCGTTATTGTGTCACTGGTATTGTTGTATCGTTATTGTGTCACTGGCATTGTTGTATCGTTATTGTGTCACTGACATTGTTGTATCGTTATTGTGTCACTGGCATTGTTGTATAGTTATTGTGTCACTGGCATTGTTGTATAGTTATTGTGTCACTGGCATTGTTGTATCGTTATTGTGTCACTGGCATTGTTGTATCGTTATTGTGTCATTGGCATTATTGTATAGTGTGCCAAGCTCTCAGCTTGTCCACCCCCACACCACGGCCCCCCCAGCCCACGGCCCCCCCACCCACCCCGCTGCGGTGCACCCTGTGAGTGTGTGTGTGAGGTGTGGCGAATTATTATCAACGTGCCCTGCATCTCCTGGTCGCGTTCCCCTGGACCCCGTTACCCATTGCTGGAGGTTAAAGTGTAAAGAAACAAAAAAAAGCGTCCCTTCAACATAAAAAACAGGTCCTTGCAGGGTGGGCTGGTAGAAACATTGGAATTTTGCGCAATTTTATGACAATGTTACGTAAAATTGTGCAAATTGGAAGCGTCTTCCCACCTTTTTGCCCCCAAAATCGTTGAGGGTTCTTCGGACAATTTAACCTCTGTAGAGGAATGGAATGGTGAAATCCTTATTGACTGAAATCTGCTCATTTTGGAGCAATGTATCATAAAATCGTTAAGGGCTGGGCCGAAAAATGACAACAATTGCATTTTAAAATGAGGATTTGTTTCCCGGTATGCGGTAGTATGGGGCTTTAGACTCCGGATTATTAGCGTTTCTGCTCGAAATCGAAACATGACCGGCTTATGGCCTTATACCTGTAAATTTGTGTTGAATATGTCATGACAAAACTGAGAGACAAGGCTTCGAGAGTCTTCGATAGTTCATTATTCCACTATGAAATACTCTCTTGGATCACTAAACTACGACTGAGGTGGTGGTTGCATGTTGGATGGCGTTGGCGCAGTTGCGGCGCCTGCTGGGACTGGCTTTGGGTCGATGGCATATGCGATTTTGTCTCCGATTTTGTAAAGGGTTCCAGCAACAAATGCGGCCTCTGTTTCAGCAAGCAGCTTTTCAACGGTGGCATCCAAAAATCCGTCGGTGTCTTCGAAGTCGTTGTTGCTCATGGTGTTCATGTCTTGTGCCGAGAAAAACTCGGCACAAGACATGAAGTGCCGAATCCACAAGTGTGAGCACATTGCAGTGAAAGGAACTAAGTATACAGAAAAAATCCATTTGTAAAATATACAACACGGGATATTTCCTCTGCCTTTTGCAATAAAATGCACAAAGTTGTCGTCCATTTTATCCAATTTTATTCACTAAATGTTCAAGGGGCCGTCCATTTTATCCAATGTTATTAGCTGAAAATGTACCAAAGCTGTCTATTTACTCGAAGAATATTTGGCTCAGTTCCATGTAGATTTATTTGTCAGCAGGAAAAGAAACAAAAGTTGAGTCAATAAGTATTGAAAGGGGACGGACGGACGGACGGACGGACGCATTAATCTATTGCAGGCTGGTACACTCAGTTTACAACTTCGTTCCTACCAGTAAAAGATTTCCATTCAGATTGCACAACCAGTGGCAGGCTACTGAACGGGACGTTCTCTGTCATCACTCCATTGGCGGAGTGACGGGCACGATTGGCAGCGGCGAGTGTAGAGGGCCATCATTTTTGGTCGCCGTCGTTGTTAGCGACGCACGTATTCGCATCTGAAGTAAGGACACGTCTCCGGCAAGGGGAGACCGAGGCTCGCGTTGTCTCAGGCCCGTGGGGACGATGGATATGCGCGATCGAGCGTTCGCAGTGGGACGTGGACACCGACGCGTAAATGGGTGGAAATTGTTCTCGTCAAAATGGGGCACTTGCCCAAGGGACGCCACTGTATCCTCTCTGCATAGCACTTTGAGCTGTCGCCCCAGCATGCTCATCTAATAATTATAACTTAAATGATTTCAACTCGTAACGCGCCGCTGCCCGGCATTTGCTCGCTCTCGACGCCAGAGAACAAGGGGGAAGGGCGAGGAGGAGCCACAGACAAGCGGGAAGGCAGCCCGGCGGTGAGCCGGTGCTACCAACAGTTACCCAAGCTCTGCGGTCGATTAATGAGTTCTTACACGTGGGAGGAAATCGGAGCATCTGGAGAAAACCCACGCTTGCGAGGGGGAAACGCTCGATCCCTTACGGACGGAACGGGTGGAGTCCACAATTTTGCCATACCACCTTCCCCTGGCAAGACAGGGGATCGTCGACACCCACGTAAAGGGAGTTTCACAACGTTTGTGCGGTGATCCACCAATCCTTGCCTCCAGAGTGATGGGATTAGAGATCACGTGCATAGCAGCAATCCCCCGGCTGATGTAACTATAAATCACTCGGAAAGTCACAATGCAATTATTCATACATTCAAAATAGACTCTAATACTCATGATACACGCGCATAATTGTGCATGTTTAGAATCAATTGCTTCACAATGCGTGTGATTTGTATCCCAATGATATATGCTTATGCTACACTTAGTTTCACGGAGAGAACACAACTCTACAATTGAGAAATAAAATTGAGAAACTCTACTTATCAGATGGTAGAAACGAGACAAAACACCACTGATCCTTGAATCGGATTGCAATTCACTCGAGGGAGGTGCATCGTTTCATGCCGAGACATCAAAATCAGAAGTTTTGTTTCCCACTGAGTTAAGTCCATTGAGCTAAGAAGCTCATTTTCAAAGGCGACTCAGCTGGCATGCATTAAGGTGGCCAAGTACTTACTCAGGTGTTGCTGAGCTACCGCTTGAGGAATTCTGGGTTCAAATCTGGATTTCAGCTGCCTGTGATTAAACTGTCTTCTCTCCGGTGTAGTATAACTGATGTTCTCAGCGCAGTCAATAATTCCTGGACTTCTGACTTAAAAAAATAAAAAAACAGTGAAATTAAATAAAATGCTCACTTCATTTGGCTTAGGGTCAGCTCTAATAATAAAGTGTCTGTTTGACTGCTCACGTGATGAAACCTTCCTCTGTTGCAGGCGTGTGGTAAAGCACGCCTCGTCACGTGTGAATAGCGGGCCACGCGTATGAACCCGAGATGTCGTTCTGTGTAATCTCCTCATGCGGGCCGTTCTCTAACACACGGGGAGTGATGCACTGCACTATCAGCGTTCCGAATCGACTCCTCGCCTCATCGCAATAACATCGACAACACACCGGGAATCAAAATGAGAAACAAAATGCCCAGAGAAAGAAACAAAACAACGAGAGAGTGCGTGATCATTCTTAATTTGGCTGGTAATGTGACTCGCTGATCACGTGAAATTATAATGCGATCTATTTTCATCGCTGTGAAGCGTTAGATAATGCGTTGTGAATGTCAGGCTTTGTGCCGGAGCCGACTCGCTCGATCCAAACTTTACAAAAGAGATGCGAAGAACATTTTTTTTATCCCGAGTCACAGCGGTTTCGTCGATGCTCTCTCCTTTGTCACCATTCCACAGGGTGCTATGACTGCAAGGGTGGCGGCGGGGGGGGCTGCAAATGCGTCTGGGAAGTCTGCGGGAGGACAATGCGGGTTGGCACGAGAGGGCTCGGATTTTGTGAACTTTTGAGAGGCCATTCAGTTTGCTTTCTCGGCGGTGACTGTTGCTGTCCAATTAAGGGGCCTTTTAAAATCAATAGCGGCACGTTATAAGGGGTATAGACAAGAGATAGAGATGCGGTGAGGTAGCAGAAGTAGACAAACATGGATAGATAATGAGAAGAACGATGCAGACAAGATAGATGTGAGCGAGATGAATGAGATGTTTTAAACAAATATTAAGTATCTTGCTGTGGTCAATACAGCAGGTGCTTTGACCATACATATTCATGCCGTCTGCTTCATAGTGGACCGTTAAAGATCCCGTGATGTTATTTTCACAGGAGTAGGCCATGTGTCATGGTCCAAAATTTGCCAAATTAAAACAATTGGCAAACATATGTAAATCGTTGCCCCCCACTGCAAAACCTTGACAAGATCCTCCTGAAAAAGTGTCTTGAGATGCAGAGAGGCTTTTATGGGTAAACAAATATACTAATTCTTGTTATCGTTATGACGTTCATTAGGATTTTAATTTGAGCTGATATTTGATGCGCCCATATTTTTATCACGAACCTCTTGGTACCCTGATTTGCTTATGAAAGTAATTACATTTATAAAACACGCATCTCTTATTACCTAGGCTTTCACGAGTTCGCAATATTCACACATTGTAAGCTCTATTAAACAGCTCCATCTTGCATTATTGACTGAACTGGTTAAATTATTATAAAGAGTCTCGAACATTGCACAGCGGCAGTGAGTTCCAGGCCAATGGCCCACTGAGGAGGTGAATGGGTGGGTGTGTAGGTGAATGGGTGGGTGAGTAGGTGAATTGCCTGGGTATTTTGTACCATCGGAAACTCCACTGCCACAACTCCCAATCGGTGATGGGGCAGTTGGGGAGAGAGTGGAGAGTTTTCCATACCTGGGCAGTGTGCTTATAACCTTCTCCAGTTTAACAGCAGAGGTCTCACTCCGAATCAGTCGAGCGGCAATATCTTTTCATCGGTTGCGTAACGCTGTGTGGAAGCTACCTGGTCTGTCGCTCGGCACTAGGCTTCAGGTCTTCTCGGCCA